ACTTATCCTATTCCGGAACAAACTAATCAGCTGCAATGACTAAAGATTTCTTCGTCCAACTTGCTCTATTTTCGAATAGGTTATGCAGTGAAGGACAACAAAATGTATTATTACTTTTTATTGAATTGAATAAAACATAGGGAACAAAATGAATACGATAAACAAAGAAATGGTTGGTGCTAAGCAATATAGAAAACAAATACCAATTGTATTTGTAGTTCAATGCTTTTCAACATAATTGCCTGGAAATGTTCCGAATTGACCGGTTCGTGGCAAAGTACCTGCAAATTCGTTATTGATGGGAAACCTTTTGGATAGATCCACAATAGTGGATGTTGGAAACCGTTCTTTCCTGGAAATGTCCCGAATTCAAGCCTTCAAAAGTAGTAATATTGATTAATTTGAAAAGAAAAGATGGTTTTTTAATGGACGATTTTTCAGTCTTACTTTCCTTGCATTGCCATCATAACAATTCGATCATTCTGTACCGTTCGTTTTCTAGCGGTGACAATGCAAAGACCGTATGTTAAATGTTATAACCTTTTTCAAATATTTCGTAAAAAACGAAAATTTCTTATTATTTAAAAAACGAAGAAGAATACGAGCTTCGACTAACCAATGAACCAACCATCATCGCACTTTTCGATAACAAAAACAATATCATTTTCTTGGAGCTCAAGCTCGTCCGCATTTCTTGGCTTGTAAGCATACAGGACCCGATAACTGAAATGAATAGTCATTTTGTGTTTTACTGCATTACTTTAATTAGTCACACTACACAGAGCAACATTTGACTTCACTTGACCTCCTCGAGGGTCTAACACTCAATGCAGTAAAACACAAAATTATTATACAATTGAATCAGCTCTAATAAATTGAATCAGCTCGATACATCGGCCTTATCAATCAATCCTTTATGGTGCTAAATCTTTCTAATCTCACAGTTTATTGTGATGATTGTTCCAATGCCGAGGACTTTTTATTTTTTATTCGCATCCACAATGGCATTTCTAGAAAAAGAAACTAACGTTTCCGCATTTTTGGGAATTATGTTCGTCGGTCCAGAAAAGTCGCTTTGACTGTTCCTTTTCTCCCACTTTCCCATTTCCCCTCCGTGATCTGTCTTTACTGCTACTGCTGGATTTTCGTCTCTATAAGTGCGAAATGTATTTAAATGAATAATATGATACAGATTCCAAGGAACTGAATTTTATTCGCATTATTAAATCACGTATTTTGAAAATTATGCACGAAAGTTGAATTATGAGTATAAAATCCACTAGTAACCCTCCGACAGTTGAAACGGAGGACAGACTAGATTCTCCTTCCCTCATAAATTTCTTGTTCCAACGACGAGGGAGTAAAGAGTTTGATTGTTGCAAGTGAAGCTTATTTCGCATCTCTTTCTTAATCAGATTGTTGGCAATTTCGGACATATGTGGTACACTCAATGCTACACAGAAGCTGATACGCGTTTTATTCACGACGTGAAATTCGCATCAACCACAAAGCTAATGAAAATGCTTGAACAGGAAGAGTTAATGAAATTTCTAACGTCCAATGATATATGTTGGTTCTGGTTTAACTGATTTAAAGCCGGACAAAGCGTCATAGAGACTTTCAATTGTAGTTAACTGTCAAGTACTGGTTAATTCAGTAGTTTCTGGTCAAACTATCAGCGATTTTTTTTGATCATAAACAAGTGACAATAATAAGCGTACAAACAAATTCAGCAGTCTGATATAAAATGAAGGATGATTCAGCTCGATGTACAAGAAACATTTGGCTGGTGTTTCTTCGAAAATTGTTGGTAATTGCCTCGACAAATCAGCTGATGTTGCTTGCCAGAAACCTTCGAAAACAGCATCTGATAAGATATCTATGAATGTATGCCAGGCAAGTAATACCGGCACACTATAATGTTTCACCATCAGACAGTAGAGGATACGGTTCTCCAGCAGTCTCCAACAGTGTCTATGATTAAAATTTATTGTACGCAAGATGTGTGCTAGCTGACGTCCGAATTTCTTGCATACCCAAATATTATACATTGTATGATAACACTCTACAACCTGATCCAGAAATATCACCAAAATAGTGTAAATTTGTTGTTCCATCGTATTAGTTACGAAAAGTGGTCGGATAGCTAACGTCGTCGTTGCTGACTGTTGCTGCCGATTGTTATTTCCGAATAAGTGAGCTTGGATTAAATCATATTTTGTTTGTCGACATACTCGGATCTTATTCCGTATTGAACGCCATGATGCTCGCAGTGGATGTGCTGTTGTTATTGCTGAGCAATGCATCAAATATCTTCACCATATATTTTTAAAATAATGATATACATTTTTCAGGATATCCTTATCAATTACTAGTTAAGCCAATGTGTGATCAGAAGTATGCACAAACACCAACGATGGTACTTCCCTTTACTTTATCCATAATTAATTTCTACCGATAATTCTGCAACATTTACAGCTCTTAGATAAAGTTTGTGAAAACATAAAAAACATACGGCATTATAAATCATAAATCGTGGCATAAGTTGTGGAATATAAAATTGCAGTTGATTGGAAATTACCATAAGTTATCATTTCATTTAATGATCACAAGTCAGAGTAATGCATAATTGGTAACTAAGGAACATTTTAACCTCTGCTTCTATTTGAGAATAATGGAACTTATTTTCTAAATCTTTGTCATCCCAACAATTAGAGTGATGATTACTGAATCTGCCGAGTGTTAGAGCATAGGAAAAATAACGATTAGGGGACAGAAAAAAGTGAACAGAATGGTCAAGAATGCTTTTAGCAAAGCAAGCTTTTAACTCAATTTTAGCTTAGACTCAGACATTCCAGAAAGTTCAAAGTTGAATTTCAAAAAAGCGCTAAACTAAATGCGGAAAATCCATTTTGCTCTACAAAGGCTTCGTTGTCGAATGGCTTTAAAAATTCTATCATTGAAAAAAATAAGCAAATAAAAGCTTGAAATGAAAAATCACTCTTTTAAAGATTGATGAAATTTGATTAACTTTAAAACAGCTTTCCAATGTTTACATTGCAAAATGAACAGCGACACTCGTTGGATCAAGTAGGGGAACAACTGAGAATAAAGCAGTCTTATTAGGATACTGATTTTTACTTTATTATCGGAAAAAGATAAGGAATGTATCTCAGTAACAGTCCGATCAGACTACTTCAGAAATGTGACCTTACTGATTCTCAGATTTGTGGGATGTACTGATCCCTCAGATCTGATTGATCCATCAAAGCGTCTGAACCGTCCATATACTTCGGCACTTGAATGAAATATGATGTTAAATTAGCGCAGCTTAAGAAAATTTCATTGTTCTACTTATAACTCTCTCTACTTCGTGCCTTTACCATTACTTTAGATGCAAAGAAGAACCTTAACCACTGTTCAACAATCTGTATCACTGTGTACTGAATTACAAGTAGAAGCACAACGCTTTATTTGTCATCAAAGGATAGTTGACTTCGTTGATGGTTAGAACTTCGCTAAGAGAACTTAATATGATTTTGAAAAGAAACTATGGAGATTTCAACTGAAACGCTTTTCAAACATTTCCTTCTAACACAGATGAAAACTTATTGTATTTAGAAATACTTAAGAAATGTTATCGTCCATCCTATCCAACTTCTCACATTTTTTAAGATTGCTACTAGCAAATCAAGACAGCGAGAAAGAAGACAATTCTGTTTTAAGTTCTTGAGTACTTAAGAAAAATTCTCAGAACTGATTGAAGATAAATGTTACACAAGCTGGAGCTTGAAAAGAGCATAGAATCTTGCTCGATTGTGAAAAGAAACCCATCTTGAGCTGATTTATATAGGACAAAATAAAATGAATCTCAGAGTTAGCAAACTGCCAGATCTACGAATGAAGTATGTCGTGTAATTTTTCCAAACACCACGCAGAAAAGATGAGAATAGCGCAAACAATTACTTCCTGAAATCTTGTAAACAAGATTGCAGCTCATTAATCTAACTTTCAGTAGTTCCAAAGGGAAGATTCAAAACGTACAATAGTAAGTATCTAACCTCGGGAAATGCCTGAAACTCAATGTAACAAGATTAAAGTTTCCAACAAGAAAAATTACAGCTCAAAGTCCATGTGCTCATGTTCAATGACATTTAACAGGGCAATTTTGTTGCATTAAGCAAACTTAAATTAATCTAATATCTTAGAAAATATCAAAATTCCTCTCCTCTAACTCAGATATCTTTATGTAGATGGAGCTAAGCATCTTTTTTACAGCGGAAGATTTCCATATGATTACCTGATTTGCAATAGGAAGAAAATAGTATGGCAAAATAATTAAAGGCAATGACTGGAACTGCGAAAAAAGTATAAGAGAAGAACTGGCTTAATGTACGATTTACTTTTACAAAATCGTAATTACCCAATTTATTCTGAAGCAAAAGTTATTCACTCATGCAATCAGTTTTTTAAAAGGAAGGGAGAATATAAGTTAGAAAATAAAGCATGAAAATGAAATGCTAGTGCTGAAGGAAAAATTTTAAAAACAAATATGGGAAAGGAAATTTATGAATTATGTGATAGGGTATTAGAAGAAAGCAATATTGTTTATTACTTTTTTCTCTGTTTCCACTCAAAAAGTGCTGCAGGAATATGGCTCGAGTAACGATTTGCACAGCTAGAATTGTCATGAAAGTGAGAAGGAAATTTCTCCTTAGAAAAATAAGCGAGATCCAATGATATCTTGTTCTAATTCAATCATTCATTTTCAGTATGTAATTTTTGAAGTATTATCTGCTAATATCATTGCAGAACTACAAAAATAAAAATTATTGTAATTATGTAAATTTGTTTTTGGAAAATACCACAGAAGCACAAGTGATTTTGGCGAGATGCGCCTCAAAATCAATATCAATTCATTAGTACTTCGATCACTTTAAAATAACAAATGTCTACACAGTTTGACAAAATGTGAAAGAAGCATAGCTTTTTTTCCTCCATCAAAATAAGCCACTCTTAAAAATTTTTTTTTAAATTATTATTTAATCAGGTTAAGATGCCCTTCAAAACTACACTTAATAATTGCTTTTGATAATGAGTCGCGAACTTATAGCAATTTAAATTTTATATCACAACATTTCATATTACCATTCAAACACACCTGAAATAATTCTGAAGTAAGATAAATTATGTCCTCGATGGAGGTCAAAAGGTTAAATCGGATAGTACATTATTTCCTATCTTGAAAATATTAAAGATCGATAATATAATCCAAAAAAAAATGTTTCTGAAAAACCAGGCACGAGCTATAATTAGAATTTAGAGAAAGCACCACAAGGATCTGATAAGTTTCCTGCAAGTACTTTTGCTTTCTCCTCTTCGAGTCCTTCCTTCCGACAGTATGATAATGTATCGTAAGTTATGAATGAACAACGAAATAGCAAACTAATGAAATCGATGATTAATGTTTCTCTATTTGAAACCTCTGATCTACCCCATTACTCTGCCCAGAATCTTGATGGTTTACTAGTTCAATTATCAGAAAAATGACACAAAAATTAAATGATGGTTTGATGGTTGACTATGATTGACTATACTAAAACAAAAAGTAACGAATAAAAACCGACAAAGCCGAAAAAAAAGCAGAGGGCTGTACTTTCAGGAAAAAGAAATTAAAAGTGTTTCCTGATTAAGTGGTTTTGAATGAGTAACGTAATAAGCCAACTGATAGGAAGCAAACTTTTTACTTTCAAATTTTTGGTGATAGGAAACTGTATTTAGCGCTCAGTACTTTTTTCTTTTAAATTCTTCATTAATTTTCTTTGAATCACATAAAAATTGAAATGGTTTGCATTAGTGTGACTTCTCCTAAAAATATATATATATATATATCAAACGGTCAGGACAAGTTTCTCAACCACCCGTAAATGAAGTAATTTAAAGGGAAATTAATGATTAAAAATATCGACACGGAATTTGAAAAACAAAATTTCTGACCGAAGGTCGTTTCCATCATGAAAAAATGACAGATGCTATGCTTACTTGCTTATTTACTAATTGTCTCAAAAAGAGTTCCACTTTCTTTAGTAATGATTCTTTTACTAAGTCCCTCATCTAGTGCTTGGGTGTTTTATTAAAAACAAAAAGATCATCTATTTGCCTGTGTTTCTGTGTTTATGAAGTGATGCACCAATTATTACTATTGAAAGGAAATTAACTCTCACGGAATCAAAACCAATTGTTATCGGTATTATCGGTATGTTGAACTATTAAACATAGTTCAGAGTTCAAGAACTATGTTTAATCAATGGTATGGACGGCACTAAAAAATGTTCGGTTATTTTTTAATTCGAAAAAAATTCCCAAAAAATTAAGTACAAGAAGACGACAAACCTGAATGGAGTAGTACTGGTACGTGGTGTTTTAGGCCTATCCGGTATTGCTGTTTCATTGTTGTCGTGCAGACTCATGTCACATGCTTCACGAACGTATGACTTAGGGAAAATTCCTGCTTGTCCATGAATATTTTTACCCTCGATCCAATTGGCATCAATATTTCGCAATAGACGCAGAATTTCGCCCTATTAATTGTCGACATATTAATTTTTCCTTTCAAATTTTGATTATTACGCAATGAAAAATGTTAGTAGAATATACGAATTAAACTCCCTTGGTCAAAAGTAACAATTTTCAATTCAACTTTCTGTTAACAAATTTCTCTAGTTTTTCAGAAGTAAAAGTTTTTATTAGATTCTTCAGAGTTTGGTCTGTATATATCCTAGCAAAACTGAGCTTCCTGATCCAGTAAATTCCCGGAGAGTACATAGCGCTCCTACTATTATATTTCCTAAATATCCCATTGTATACTAAAAGTATACCTGTCGTTTCTCCTTTCATATCTTTCAATTATTATCC